CAGATATAGGTGATAAATTGAAATATGCATCCATTTTGATCACTGAATGTTTAGAAACTGATCCAAATCCCAGTCTTTCAATGAAATTAAGTTTTATTTGTGAACAAATAAATCTTCTTACAATGAAAGTGCCAAAATACTCATCAGAAACACTGTTGTTTCTTTGTAATTTTTTTTTCACATATCCTGCAGCATACAGACTAATTTGAAATATCTCAGTATTGATACTGCCACATCCTGTTTATCTTAAAAAAATGGTAATGGATTTAGGTCATTATCAATCTGGAATAAGTAATTCACATGTTACTTACTTGCATGAAAAATCTAAAATTTTAAATAAGGAAGAATGCATTGTGAATTTATTCTTGAATGAGATTTATGTCAAACCCAAATTATTGTACAAAGGTGGTCAAATTGAAGGCATGTAAAAAAATATTGAAAACACCGAGGCAACTACAATGCAAGTTTTTATGATATCTTCAGTATTTTCCAAAAACAAAGATGTAGTTGCATTATTTCCCGTTAAAAATTTAACTGGCATAAAATTACATGAAATGACATGTAGTGTGTTAAATTGTTAAAAGAATGTGGGTACAAAGTGATAACAATTATATCTGATAATAATAGAATTAATCGTGTAATGTTTGAAAAATTTTGTAATGGTTTGTTAACAACAAATATTCAAAATCCATATTCATCATCAGTCAAAATATTTTTATTATTTGATTCAGTACATTTATTAAAATGTATCAGAAACAACTGATTAAATCAGCATGACAATAGGCAAACATTTGTTTTTCCTACGTTACAAAATTCTGTTTTATTTGATTATAATGATTCACTTCCTGAAATATGTTTTGCTAATTTGCAATGCCTGAAAACAATACATTTTCAAGAAAGTAGTACAGCTAAATTAACTCCAAAATTATCTAAGAAAATGCTTTATCCATCAAAGTTAGAGAGACAGAATGTAGCACTAGTTTGCAGTATATTTCATGAAAAAAATATAGCTGCTTTGAGAATCAAACAGTAAATACAAAACAGTATGAAAACTTCTTACTATCTAGATATAATCTCCAAATGATTGAAAATAGTAAATGTTAAACATCCACATAAAGGAGAAATTTTAAAAGACAAATTTTCTGAACCAATAACAGATACTTCAAATTTTAAAGTTATATTTTTAAAAAACATGTATTTAAACATGTTTTTTAAACTCCGAGTATAAAATAATTATAATCATCAGGTTGCTCAAATGTCCAGTAATAAACATGAAAAATTAACAATAGAAACTCAAAAAGCATTAGAGCACACAATTAAAGCAATGTATGAACTTACAGAATTTATATTAAATAAACATGGAGCACATTATGAGTTATTGGGTATTTGGGTATTGGGTAAATTGGCATATTGGATAAATTTCAAACAGATATGCTGGAAGCTCGCTTTGGACAGTATAGACAGATGTCAGGAAGTAACTATCATATTTCTGTTTCTGAAGTTATTGAATCAAAAAGAAAACTGAAATTAATAAGCTTGCTAAATATGATATCATCCAAAATTGGAAATTTTCAAATTAGAGCATTTCTTGAATCTTGTGCTAATACTGCAGAGTTAGATAGATTTGATTTTGATGTTAAAGAAGCATTTGAAGGCATAATAGAAAAACCTGATATTATTATTACAGAACAGAACAGTCAGTTCTGATTTACACTGCAGGATATGTTGCATATTTAATAATTAAGAAAACTTCTTGCGAGCAATGAAAATCATTACTAGCATGTAATTCTCCACTAGAGTATGAATGCACAGATGATGATTTAGCAAAATATCTGAAGATAATTGACAGAGGTGGCCTTAAATGGCCACAAGAATTTGTTGTTGTAATATGCATAAATACCATTCTGAATGATTATGAATGTGTATTTTTGGCACTGAAAAATGGAAAAATAGCTTTAGTAAGTTTAGTAATGAATAAATTAGTTGAAAATAATGTATTTTGTTTCCAAAATAATATTTGCAGTTGTAAGAAAAATAGAATTCAATTAATGAAATGCTGTGTCAAAATAATGCCCAACATATTAATAAATAATTATTGCAACAAATCCATGCGTTTCTCTCCCAAGCTCTTCTATGTTAACGTCTTTGGCCAACTTCATGCTTCTTGTTGCGATACAAAACCAGAATCGTTTATCCTTACTTCATGGGCCCTTTTTTTCTAATTTTGCTCTCTTAAGACACCTCTTTAGTAGATGTGTCCTAAACACAAAAATATTTGGGGGAGACGCGTATAATAAGAGCTATAAGTGAAAATTCATTGGATTACTTACTGACTGTGCACGGTGGAAGCCACCATTGCTTTACCTTGTTCACATCGCAAAGTAGCACAGTGGACGGCGGTTGGTTGGTTAGGTTTTATTGGCGCAAGGGCCACATAGGCCAAGCTGCGCCATGTCAAATGGTATAATTATATAAATAAATAAATAATGTAAAATATTAAATATAAATAAATAAGTAAATAAAATAATAAATAACAAAACCAATAACAAAAATATACAACAATGCACATGTAAATTATAACAAAATATATAAATATATTAATGAATAAATATATAAATAGTCAACAAAGTATATATAAGCTAGATAAATAATTAAATATGCTTATAAATATCATTAACTTTCAAAAAGTTCAATAATTTGTCAACATTTGGCTTCTGGCCCAAAATCTCTCTCAAACTTGCATTTGCGAAATGTTGTCTACATCTTTGATCAAAAGCAATGCAGTTGCAAAGTATGTGTTTTACACTTAGAATGCAGTTGCAATACTCACATACTGGCTAATCTTCACCCTTCAAAAGGTATTGATGAGTCAGTCGAGTGTGTCCAATTCTCAAGTGAGTAATAAACAACTTCAGATCTCCTGTCATACTGTTTGTTGCATGTCCAATTTTCTATCGTAGGTTTGATCTCGTGTAGTTTATTGTGGATTTGTGCATTCCACATAATTTGCCATCTCTCTGCTAATCGGTTTTTAACGACTAGCTTCAAATCAGCTCCTTCAATACGCATTTTATGCGGTGAAGGACTTGCTGACTTTGCAGCTGTGTCAGCATCTTAATTTCCTCTTATACCCACGTGGCCTGAGACCCAACATAACTTTATAAAGGAGTTGCACGTAGTAAGATGAAAAATTAGTTTCTGAATTTTAATCACTATAGAGTGAGAACTAGGTTCCTGCGAGATCAAAGCCTGAAGTGCTCTAACTGAGTCAATGTAAACCATGCAGCAATGATGACCTTTACTGATTACATACTTTAAGGCTAGGTAAATAGCCTGCAGTTCTGCAATGAATATGGACGAATTCGTTGATATTGGTTCTGCCATGATTTCATCTTGGCAGATGAAGGCTAAGCCAAAATAGTCTTTCAATTTCAATCCATTGATGTATATGGGAATTAAATTCCTCTCACGACATTGAATTTCTGCAAAGTGCTGTCTATAGATGTATTTGGGTGTAGTTTCTTTGGGGAACTACCTTAAGCTTAAGTCAACATTTATCGCTGGAATTTACCAAGGTAAAATTGCTATTAACCTCAATCTGTGAAATGTTACTTGTGTCCAAGTCAATCGTGCTGCTTACATTCTCCATTCTTATGTCGAATGTAAAAACACTACCTGTCCGAGCTGCAAATAATCTTATCAGCTGAGTATCTGAACAATCAGCTGAAAGTTTATTCTGAGATTTCTGTTTAATGTAATAAAAAAGAGACAACTGTTCTCTCTTAAGAGATAGTGAAGCTCATAAGCATCCATGTACAAACTTTGTACAGGAGAGGTGCAAAAGGTACCAGTGCACAAATGCAATGCTTAATGTGGACTAGATCCAGCATAAGAAAAGTAGATTCTTGCGCAGAGCCATACAAAATGCATCCGTAATCCAGCTCAGAGCAAACAAGGGCCCTATAAATTCTGAGCATAAAACATTTGTCTGCTACCCAGGATGAGCAGCATAGTACCTTTAAAATGTTCAGAAATTTTAGACATCTACTCTTCAAATTGCGCAAGTGTGGCAAAAATGTCAGTTTTTGGTCAAAAGAAACACCCAAAATCGTATCTCATTCACAATTGGGATTTTATCCCCATTTAGGAAAATTTCCGGATACAGGTGAAAACCATGCCTTCAGCAAAAGTGGATGCACGAGGGCTTCTCTGTGTAAAAGGTAAAACCATTGGTCTTCGACCAATTGTCTATGAAATTTAGAAAGGTTTGCAGTTGTCTCTCGATGAAACTCATGTTACTAGACAGGCAGGAGATCTGAAACTCATCCACGTACAGAGAGTTTTACACTAGGAGGGAGACACTTAGCTATGCTGTTAATTTTGATTAGGAACAGAGTCACACTCAAAATACATCCTTGAGGAACACCTTCTTGTGTGAAGAGCCTAGATAGTTTGTTGCCCATCCTGAGTTAAAATCTTCAATTCTGTAGGAAGTTTTTTTATAAAAAGTCGGCATATAATCCCATAATCCGAATTCATGCAAATCACAGAATATCCCATATCTCTAGCATCAATCGTAGGCCTTCTCTATATCAAAAAACACAGACATTAAGTGCTGTCGTCTAACAAACGCTTCGCGTATAGATGTTTCAAGGATTACTAAATTGTCCGTAATACTTCTGTTCCTACAGAATCCACTCTGATGTGGTGAGAAATAGTTCTTTTCCTCTAGGAATAACATCTGGCATCTCTTTACCATTCTCTCGAAGAGTTTACACAGGCAACTAGTCAGAGAGATTGGTCTGTAATTAGAGGGATTCTTGCAATCTTTATCTAGCTTGGGAATGGAAATAATAATAGATAACCTCCAAGAATCAGGAAAAGTATGTTCTGTCCATATTCTGTTAAACAGATTCAGAAGATTACAAAGGGAATTGTCAGACAGATTTTTAATCATGCTGTAGTAAATTTTATCCGGTCCTACAGCAGTATTCCCCGAGCAAGAGATCGTTGTATATAGTTCTATGATGGTGAATGGCACATATATTTTTCATTAGATGAGGTATGGAAATTTAAATTTTGTTTTTCACTTTGGGCTTTATAAACCTGAAAATTCCTTCGATATATAATATTGCTAGATGATGAAAAAAACGTTTTACCCAACGTATAAGCAATACCCTGTATATCGCTGATTACTAAGCCATTATTTTCCAGCATGGACAGAGAATAAGTAGCATATTTCCCATTAAATTTATGGATTTTATCCCAAACTACTTTTAAACTGGTGTTAAAGGTTATGCTAGAAACATACTTCCTCCAAGAATCCCTTTGGCTTTGCCTTCTATTTCTTCTAGCATTTGCCTTTGCTTTTTGAAAAGCAATCAAATTACTAGCAGTGGGGTATCTTCTGGAAATCTCCCATGCTTTCTTTTGTTTTTTAAACGCTGCCTCGCAATTCTGATACCACCATGGTTTCGGATGCTTTGGATATCTGGTTGATGTTTTTCCCATTGTTTTTTCGGCTGCCTGAATAATAATGGAAGTGACAACTTCAACTGCATCATTGATATCAGCAGTATTGACCATTTCCTCTGTGATGTTAGCCAAAGAGGAAAATGCAGGCCAATCTGCTGTTTCCAGTTTCCAGCGTGGTGGACGGGCTGTTTCACAGCTTTCTCTACCTCGGTATTTTAGAAATATTGAGAAGTGGTCACTAGAGAGTGGATTAGATCCAACCTTCTATGTAAATGCTAAAAACAGGTTTGGACTTGCTAAAGATAGATCAATGGCAGTAAATGTTCTTTTTGAGGCATGGAAGTATGTCACTTCTCCAGTATTAAATAAATATAATTGCTGATTGCCTATGAATCTTTCAATGGCTCTGCCTTGGTGGTTGATGTTCGGTCTGCCCCACATTGGATTATGGCCATTAAAATCATCCAGTAAAAAGAATGGAGTAGGCAGCTGTTCAACTAATGCATCCAATTCATCCTCATTGACTCTGACATCTGCTGGAAAGTATATAGAACAAACTGTGACAGTTACTCCAATAGAAATTCTGTCTGCCACATTCTTGCAAATCAGTTGTTATTTGTACTGGTAAAGATGGAATGCGATTTGAAACCAGTATAGCCACACCGCCACTGGCACGGTTGTGGCTATCATCATCCTTGCAGTAGAGATCAAATCCTTTTAAAGTAATTCTTTCTCCAGGTTTCAAATGAGTCTCCTGGAGTGCCATGCAGAGAGATGAGTTGAATGATGTCAAGAGTTTAATGTGAGAAAAGTTGTTGCGGAAACAACAACAGTTCCATTGGATTATTTTATAATCCATTATGTGTTTGAGTCAGCATTTTTAGCAAGGTTATCCCTCTTTAATTTCACAGGAAATTTTTCTTTTGGAGATGATGTTGGTGATGTCACCACCTTATTAGAGAGGTTGAGGCGCACGTTTTAAACGTGTAAACGTGTACGTGTGACGTTCGGCGCCGCTTTCCCGTAAGCCTAAAAGTTTGACGATGGTGTTTGAAATGTCGAGCGTGATTCCACCGACTATCCAAACACCATTGTCAAACTTTTAGGCTTACGGGAAAGCGGCGCCGAACGTCACACGTACACGTTTACACGTTTAAAACGTGCGCCTCAACCTCTCTATTAGTCTCTTCATCAGAAAAGTCAGAGAACTCACTCATAGACTGAGTCTCTGATTTTTTAGATTTAGAGAGGACTGCTTTCATTGTTTATTAAGTGGGTTCTTACTGGCTTTTTTGGAACCCACATTCCTAGTTGTTACCCCTGTTTTAGGTAAGAATGATTTTGTCTTGTTATTCTCTTTTCCTGTTGCTTTGGTAGATGGTATCAGCAGACATTTTTCATGACGAGTCAGAGATTCATTTGGTAAAACAGAAATGTTTGTCTGAACTCCACATGTCTTTGTGGATTTCAGAACAGCAACAAATTTCTTCTGTTTCACTGGTGCACTTAAAGTGACCATGCGATGTGCCTCCGGGTAAGATATATTATGAACAGTCTTCAATCGCTGAATTTCTTTCTGTCTCTGCCATGCAGTGCATTTTCGGAAGTAGGCAGGATGGGCATCTTTGCAGTTTACACAGCATGCAGTGCTGGTACACTCAGTACTCTGGTGGCCTTCAACTTCATACTGTGCACATAAACTTTTGCCTCAAGGTGTTTGGGAATGTCGAAATCGCTGGCATTTGAAACAACGCAGCGGATTTGGAATATATGTGCGAACTGGACAGCGCAAATATCCTGCGGTAAAAAAAGATGGTAATGTTGATTTATTAAATGTGACGATTATATGTTTTGTATGAATTATCTTTCCATCACGACGAATGGAGATGTGTCGTACAGCAGTAACTCCTTGATCTGAAAGGCCGATCTGAATATCTGATTCTTCCTCAGACATCAGATCGATTTCAGAGATCACACCATATGATGAGTTCAAACTTGTGTGTGGTGTGATAGTGACTAGTATGTCTCCTAGAGACTTCATTTTCAAAAGTTTTTCTGACTGTCGAGGGGAGGCTGTTTCTACAAGTCCTGACCTCAATTTTTGGATTTTTTTAAGGTGCCCAATGGTTGATTAAAAAAGTTTCTGAATTAAAAAGGGAAAACGTTTAGACAAAGGTGTTTCTCTCGTAGCATGAACGATAAGGTAGGCTGGTTGATTGAGGGAATTGACATCTCTTGGTGGTATATTTGATGTTTTAGATTTTAGAGAATCCATATTTATAAAAATATATTCAGCTCCTAGTGACCCCACCCACCACGGGGCCCAACAATAATCACATGGGAGACTCCCATAGACTGTCACACCAGGGTTTCCCTGGAGCTATACCCTCACAATGCAGTCAAGAAGAGCACATCTTGTCTGACGTGTCCGCCCAGTCTGCATCGATCAGCTGACTCCAGGCCAAGGTCAAGAATGACTCAGCAACCAGCCGATTGACTCAAATGGAGCCTAATTTGAGCCTCCCGTTTATCCGAAGCAGAGGCCAAAGCAGTGTGTTGAGACGTTATGTTGCCCCTCAACTACAAGTATTGCTCTTTCTGGCATAAGGGCCACCATGCTCAGCAAAGACATGAGTGAACGTTCTGATCCCTGAGATGGTAAAGAAGAATTACTAAACCATCTCTGGGAGGTCGCATCACCACTGATAGAAACTCACATTGAGGGGACAGTGTAAAGTGAACATTAAGTGATGTAATGTGAGCATCGCTGCTGATTGTTTCTGCCACCCTGTTTGACATAATTAAAATTTTCATTATACTGTAATTGTTTGAAAAAACCTCAATGTTACTTTTAACAATGTAAAAATGACTGGAAGTTGGCAACAGAGGCTCGTGAAATGCTGCTATTACACCCGTTGTCATCTACAGATACTCAGAGGCAGAGTTAAGCTCTTCCCACAAAAAAAGAAGCAGATGTGTTTTAGAATTATGCCATTTTAACATATAATAATTAATCTCAACAACAAGACATTGAAACTCAGTTTTTATTGCAATAATCGCAAAATATTTTATCAATACAAATTGAAAAATTTTTAATATTTTTAAAGGAATTCTTTTCGTTTTCCAGCTGGCTTATATACTTTTAACATAGGATTGAGAAACTACAAACAAAATTAATAAGCAAATTTCATTGATATAAATTAAAAAATCCAATATTTAACACTATACATCAACCAAAACCAAATATTATTGGGCTAGAAATGGCTGTAATACTAATAATTTAATAGACAATTTGGCATTAGAGTTAGGCGTTAGGCACCATCTTCTGATAAATTTAATAATTTTAGAATTACTGGAAGAAAAGAATCAACCCAAAGCATGACTCAAACTTGCAAATCCTGCTTACCATGCAGATGCATTGTCAATTATGCTAACCAGACCTGGTCCGATCTCTTCTTCCAGCATATATAAGCTAACGATATAACCGATATTTAAGAACTTATCCGTCTGAGTAAATATTAATGTTAAATACTTTTCGCAATGAATTAATATCTTTAAATTTTATGAAATTTTCTTAAACTTATTTTTGGTACAGACTGTCAATACTATTGTCTTTGAAAGTATGAAATTCGAAGTTAACGGTTGATTAGAACTTATGCATCATTTTCAAAATATCAGAACATACGTCAGAAAAGAAATTGACAAAATTATCGATTAATTTAAGACCATCCAGAAAAACTTAAAGAGAAGGAAGAACAAATACAAGGAAGGTATTTCAACTTCTCACGACTAAAACCCAGTTCAAGATTGACAGAGTAAAAATATGTGGCAGCATCAAGATAAATACAGCAGTTAAAGTAAATTTTGATTTTGACTGTGTGATTTTTATTAACGACGTTCTACTGTCTTATGTGACAATGCCGAAAGGCCTCCCTATACTTCAGCACCACGTGACCGAAGGGTCGATATCGCGTCAGCAAAGATCGCAGTGACAAGTTTCGTCAGGACTGACACCACTGTGTCTTCACAGCTAGACAGAGAAACCGTTTCGTTTGAGCATGTGTGTGAGCGAACGGATGGAATGGAAGGAGGGGCAGTGCACCGGAAGTGACTTACTCAGAGACGCTTTTACGTAACAACGGTTTAATTGATAACTATAGGCCATACAGGATATAAAAGATATTGATTTTAACTAGGCTAAGTTTTTAGGAATCTTGGCTACAATAGATATAAAATAAACATTAAATTAGATTTAAGATTTCTGTTACAGTTCTGCGGTTCTTGAGAGAGAGAGAGTTTACATAAGTTTCGTGTGGCGATAAATACCTGTACAAAATCTTGATCTTCTGCACGTCAGTCGGACACAAAAGAAAACAGTTCTTAGGTAACTAGTTATTAGGTGAGGAGGTATCCAAAGGCAAGGAAATATCCAAATATTTTAGCACAGGAAAAACTTGAGTGGTCCGCTCAATTAACTTGTGACAACTGCCACTTTGTTGTTCTGTCCTAAGGTTGTATTGTTGAAATTGAGATATTAGGTCAAAAGGTGATGAGAAAGCTTCTTTATTAAGCCTGAGAACTTAGCAGATGTTTAGCTCCCAGATGTAAGAGTTGACAGTTATTGAATGAAAGTATGGCTACAATGTGATCTTATGATGCAATAATATAAACACACAGAAAGTCTGGACTCGAATCCTCACACTTATGACATTGTCATTTATGATTTCAAAGATGTTCTATCAATGAAAGAGAATTTTAATGGCAAAATCATCAGAAATCGGAATTCTCTTCAAGTAATAATAAACAATATCAAATATGACATAGTCAAGACAAAATTTGCAAAAAGAGCTGGTAATGCAAAGAATAAGAAATCTAAATAATCCTTCTATAAATGTTTATAAATTCAGTAATAATTTGGACAAAACTCAAACAGACTTCATAAGGAAGCAATCGAAATTTGCACATAACTTTATGAGGTTAGCAAAATTTTGGAATAAATCTTTATTCTTAAAATTTCGCTGGATGATAAATATTTTTTTAATAAATAAAAAGACATAGTCGTTTCCAAAAAAACTTTTGGTTGATCACCATTTATTTCTTTTAAATGTTCCAGAATAAACTTCAGGCGACCCGACCTT